GGGGGGGGGGGGGGGGGGGGGGGGAAGGGGTGTGCGTTTGTATTTATTTTGGTTTTTATTTTTTGAACGTAATGTATTCGGTTGAAATGGAATGAATTCTGTTTCAAAATAGTGGTTTTGAATGGTGGCTTCCACACTGATTTCGCTTGCCTAAAGCTTTGGATGTGTGAGTTCAGTATCATATTTCCTGTCTGTGACGGCTTGAAATTTTGGTCGGTTTTTGGCTCTTTTGATTTTTCAGCCTCAAATTTTTGTAATTCCACGTCTTCCACACGAAGGATTTTACCTGAACGACTAATTTGCAGCTAAGCATACTGCTTTCCAAAAAGTCTTGCAGTTTCAAAGAAGTCTCATGTTTCAGAATTATTAATTCCAGGTGGACATCGTGCCAACATTAAGTCTGCTGCTGGACATGCCAATTCCGTATTCGAGTATTGGAACGCTAATTGATTGTGTCATCGATCCAGAACATCGATCGGTGGCAATAAGCAGTAATGCGGAACAAATGATGCGCTACGGACGGACGGTTGTTGCAGAAACAGAGTTACCCGAGCTGGATTTGCTGATACGCGAATTCGAAACGAACGGCAATGTCAATAATTCGATTGACTATATGCACCGCTTGCAGGACCTTCTGCGCGTTTCTTGGACCGAATTCAACGATAACTTCATGCGTATCGGCTTCCTTTCTCTAGTTGATGCCGTCTTAGCTATTTACGATGCCTTATATACCGGATAGTAAGGTTTCATTCACTTCGTAAAGTCTTATAAAATTTCCCTTTTTTTATCTTTGGCATATGAAGCATGAAAAACTGTGTTTTGTTGAGATACAAAGGAAAAAAATTGTTTTTCGAAGGATAATTGATGAAATTTTTGAAAGTTAAAGAATTATTGAATATAGATTTTTCGGACTGTGAAAGGGTAGTGATGCTTAGATCGACAAGAGGTCAAGACTGTCAGGTCCTCACATAACTGGGGGTCTGATTTCGCTATGTAATTTCCAAATTATGACGTTAAACTCTCGAGTATTTGGCATAAAGCTCATTAAATAGTTATTTTGTGCTGTTGGTACAACCAGCACTTTTTTCGTGATTTTCTGCAACCGAAGCCAGACTTCATCTAATAACCATTGTACTGATAATCATGACGTTTGTTTTTCGATTTTATCATTTCATTCTCCTGAGTAGCTGGGAAAAGCAAGGTGCACTCCAGAAATAACTGCTAAGAGTGACCTGTTCCTTTTCTTTTGTGCCCCTTCAGCTTTTATAGGCGATCCTAATACGCCCATCTTTAGCAGTTGTTACTACATAAAGATGTTTTAGAGGGACTTCAGTTATACTCTACTGGGGGTAGTATGAATAAAGATATTAATGACGATTTTCACAAATATAAAGATATGTTAAAAAATAATCAGATGAACAGGAATGTTTCGTTCCATTAAGTCCTTTATAACATCACTATTGGGTTGGAATCAAGTCGTATCAGTGCACGGTGCTGCTGAATGTTTTGTACACTGATATGTAACTTTTTTTAGAAATAAGTCTTATTGAAGTTATTGATAGTTTTCCAGCACAAAATGCTAGATTGATGTGAGTTTTTTGCATAACGTGATTTTTTTAATGTTTCACAAATGGAACATTAGAATCGCAAAAAATTAGCCACAAGCTGATGCAGCGCTGGTCGATGCAGTTATGGGAAAGTTGCCGGCTGCATAGGTAATAAATGGCAACGCGCACCAGGCTAGCCGGTGCGATCATGCGTTTTGTGCAATTCAGCCCAT